GGGTGGGGAATAAGGGTGAACCACCGTGCAGTGTGCATTTATGTCACGATTGCTTGGATTGTGCGTCTGTGTCCATTCCTGCAACGGGCTCCGCTCGACATTGCTCGGCTCTAGTCGGCTCGTTCCACACAGATCGTAGTGGTCGTGTCTTGGATCTGGTTCGCTGCAGCACACACAGAATGACACAACCTGGTCTTGATAGGATCATGTCTCTCTCTCTATGTGATCTGTCAACATGGGTCTCATTGTGGACATGTGTGTGTGTGTTCGTGACTAAATCATTCGTGCACATCAACTCGAAGGACTCGAGCAACGCCCACCTGTTTGGAGCAAGTAGGCAGTAAATGTCACATACATACGCACACAAACGCAGTCGGTCACACGATCACAAAGTACATGAAAGCCTCAGCAACTCAAACGGTCTTATTTCGTGCCTGGTTATGTTTACCAGCTAGGAAAGGCTAATATTATGTACTATTAAAAATATTATCGGGAAACCCTCCGTGTCCTCACCAGATCTTCGGTGCAAATGTGAAAACCATCCGTTGACTTTCATACGCACTAGCAGGAGAAATACCTTCGAGGCACAGTTATAACCTATTCGAATAACCAATTCTGACCAAACTGGAAATTGTTGCTTTCTTCTCCGTGGTTTGAGCGGTAATTTGTTAAGCTGTAATTACTGCATTGAAATTGTCCCTCTGGGAACGAAATGTTTGAAACCCGAGTATTAATAAGCAAAAGGGACGCTGTGCATGACTAAATCTAAGATAAAATATCTAAGAGCTATTGGTCAACGATGGGTCTACACAGCTCACTCAGTCTGTGGCATGTTGGTCAACAGCCAGTTGTACCTGTTTTCAGCCAAAATTGAGACCGCTTAACTTACCGGTGACCACAATCTCATTTATATTAGGCTGATGATTCGTTTGCGCTTTTTGTGCCACTCATCCATGTGGGTTCAAGCTAATGGGACTATCTCTCGGTAACCTGATGAAGTATTATCTATATCCACATAAGAAAGTTGCCGAGTTTACAATGGCTCTACTATTTTGATGTTCTGTTAGAACAATCTTCAATCTGCTTTTCATCTTCCATCACACTAACATCACGAGATATCAGAAAGCGGTAATTTCTTAACCAGAATGATAGATGAACAGTGAAAATAGAAGAATATTCATGTGAGAATAACTTGTTGATTCTGGTTTTGTAGATGAAGAGGTTATCAATAGAAGGAAAAACAACAAGGAGCGCTATTTTTGAGAGAAAAAATGACTTGAATATCACTGTTCGACAGGTTTCTCGTGTCACCTGGCAATAATGGCGACTAGACCTCGCCGGCAAAGAAAGGTGAAGCGGAGTCTAAGTCGGTCAGAAATTCTACTGGTCACATCGGGTACAAAGTCATAAATATGGAGAGATTGATTGGTTTGACTGGCTATCCTTTGGACTTCACCTTCACGCACAATCCTCGGTTCATCCATTCAACCATATACTCTAAAGCACTAAACTCAAGCTTCGCTCTTATTAGAGCTCATCAGTAGTGCATATCCCGTCCGGGGTTTGAACTCCGGACCCATATAAAGAGACCAAGATAGAAGCGACAAGGTGGGAGTGGTAAAGTGAACTGAATAGCAAAACAAAATTCAGACCTACAGAGGGGTGATACAGTATTGAACACATCTAGAGATTTTTTTTCCCCAGGCAGCAATGGTACTCGAGTATGCAGTAGATCTTTACTTCTCCAGAATGCAATACGGCTTATTCCAGCTCGGCTTCCTGTTGAGAACAGAGCGTTATTAGTTCACGATCTATTTCGGACGGATTCGGTTGACATTGGCTGTATTACGGACACCAATAGTTGTCAGATTTTGCAGATCTTCAGCTTGTTCCCTTTATTCGTGGAAATCCAGTTGTTCGAAGGCTTGTTAACAGCTGGGTCAGTTAGGAAGTGTGATAATAAACCATTCATCGTGAAATTGATACGTGCGACATACCCTACGAAAAAGCATTGGGCGCGCCATGAGGTTAATTTGTCCCCACTGTGGATCATGAACAGTCCGTACTCATCGAGCCCATGCCCTATGGAACCCTCACGTGTAGGGTTTGGTTTCAGCCATTAGTATTAGGCCACGGGATGGTTCTGGCGGTGAAAAAAGTCATCGTCAAGTATGCTCCTATTTGTTAATCGCGCAGTTGGTGTCCAGTTCATCCTTCCCCGTTGTCTGAAATGCAGTGAATGGTGCATCACCTGTCCACGGATTAGTCTTACAGTGTCCTTACCACGGCCGGATATTGTGACGAGCCTGGGTGAAGGTCAGTCTGTATTGTCAGAAGATCTTTCGCTTGTAAGCACAATTCCTGTACTCACTAAACACAATGTTATCTAATCACTTCGTGAGTGTATTTCGATATTTGGTTAACTGATCACTTGTGTTGCTAGAGAAATCATTCTAGTGGATAGGTTTTAAAACAGAAGAAAAACAAAGGGTAATCAGTGTAACATTTAAACGCAACTACGGGAAAATATATTGGTATAAATTGAAATATATGTCATTCTAACTCATCTATACGGTGGTTATGACGATTTATTCTCCATATAACCGATTTGTGTAAGAGCTCTCCTGAAATTAGTTATGATCCATATTAACGAGGCAAAAAGAGTAAAATAAGTGCGCGCAATGGGACGACTCTCATCAAGTTACTCCACACTCGGGTCCGATTCCCAGGAGACTGGTGACGATTTATGACCCGGATAAATTGGTTAAACTGTTCTTCCAAGACTTTCAAGTGAATTCATTTTTAATTAACAAAATTCATCCATTTGACCGCACATTAATGCTATTCAAAAAATTATTCAATTTGTTTCTGTTTCGCTGGAATAATTCTTTATTTTCACAATAAAATATCACAGATGTTCGTAGAACCTCCAAGTCTAGTTCATTATCTTTTATAAGATTGCACACGTAACAATTTGATGCAACTTATAGGCACTATGAGATAATTGTTTCATATCAATGAATATCAGTTTAAATCACATCGATTTTTGTGGTAAAGACTTTACCCCCCCCCCAGCCGCACCTACCCATGCGCCAGAAATCACTAGGCCACAAAACTCCATGGAACATCACCGTGATTAAGCGACATATCAAAAGCATCCCAAAACGGAAATACAATCATATAAATTCAACTGGCGTTAAAATATGTCATGTGGTAGTATCACTAGGACAGTGAGAACATGATTCTGCAACAAAACGCTACATTACGGAGTGATGTGAATTGTGAGAGTAGAATAATTCCGCATCGCAACAGACCCGTACGAAAAACACAATCCAAAAATCGATCATGTCTAAACTAACCTAACTGAAAATAACTCATGGTACAGAAGCAAATGAAAGAAATATCAGAATTAAAAAATACACACAAGAGCCATCTGATCAACGCATCGGTCAGTGGTTAGGAAGGTAAAAAACGAGATTTGGTAATTGAAATTTGATTGAAACGACACNCAGGGTGAGAGGAAACATTTGTCGATTAATACAACTCTGTTTATTCCGGGTTAAAAACCGTAT